TATTGTACTTCGAAAGTTATACCCCATTATAGCACCATACTTGCAATATTTTTCTTGTTAGGATATTATACTTTAAAAACTTTATCATTTTTTTTTTCATATTTAGATGACTATGGTTACATGTAATAAATAGCAATGCTTTCTTTTATTTGTTTATTATTGAACCCTACTTTTTTTTTTTTCTTATAACAACGTCGCACTTTAAAAAATTCTAGCCAATAATAGCAAAGCTATCCAAATAAAAAATCATTTTTACTGCTATAACTCTCAGTAGATTTTTCAAAGTACAGATTACTAATAAGAAAAATAAAATAAAAGTACCATGCTATAACTATAATAAGATAGATTTTGAAAATGAGAAGAAAAAAAAAAAACAAAAGTGCAGTGTTATAACTAGGTAGATTTTGAAAATACAGTGACTTAATTAAAAAAAATGTTAAATGCCCTGAAAGAAGATTTTAAAGTACAATGCTATAATAATAAAACAAAATGAAGTGAGTCCCTATTTCTTGCATTTAGCCCTAGATGACATTGCTATAATTGGGTTTAATTTTTCAAAGTACACTGCCATATAGAAACAAATGGAAATATAATAAGAAAAGCAAAGCGATGAAAGTATGTTACTATTTCTTGCATTTAACCCATTACAAATACTTTAAAACACATGAACATAATCTATTACCTTAAAATGAGAAACGGTTCTTGTTAGAAAATCAGGGGAGGGTTGGAAATCGGCATCAAAGATGGCAACAAATTCATAATCTTTAGCATAACTACAATTCATAGCAGATTTAAGATTACCGGCTTTATATCCATCTCTAATCACTCTGTGCCTATAAACAATATTTGCACCATCTCTTTTCCATTTATGAACCTCATCTTTGATCAACAATTGGGCTGTTGGATCATCCGAATCATCCAAAACTTGAATTAAGATCTTGGATTTTGGCCAATTTAAATTACAAACAGCTCCAATTGATTGTTGATACACCTAAATATGTTCATCAATTTACAAAAGATCTAACGAAAGAAATAACGACACAGTTCCAATTGTTTGTGTATTGCATTGTAGCATCACATTTTCATTTCCTTTTTATTAGTGTTGTAGTTTACAACTAAGTTAGTTACACAAACAAAAGTAAACTTTAGCTTCTATCTTTTTTCTTTTCACAAGGAAATTTACCTCTTTTTCATTACACATGGGGATCTGGACAAGAACCATTGGGAAAAACCCATCACCTCACCAGATTCAAGATCTGTTAGGGTTTGTTTAGCGACAGGTTTCATCTTCATGACCCGAATCAAGAAACAACCCAAACAGAGCACAAATCTGTCCAAACTCTGAACCAGAAACATATAGACACAAGAATTTGCCAAAATCTGTAGTGGTGGAGCTAGAAATTCGACACGTATCATAACCCATTTTGAATAAATCCAATCGAAAAACCCTTAAATGCAAATGGATTTGTCGATGTATATAAATACTGTAAATGGAGATCTGGAGGTCCAAACTGCCACCCTTTATAATAAGCAGCTATCTCGAACGCTAGTAATAGAAAGATAACAAAAGACAGCCTTAATGCAAGTATAAAAACGTGTGGATGTTCTAACGGGGATTCCGGTGTCGGTTTCTGTATCTGTCCGGCCGGATGTTACACGCCGGCGAACGCATAAGTAAGGGAGATGTGGTGGAGGCGATAGAGGTGATGCAACCGGCGGCACGATGGGCTTTGAGGAGTAGCACCCATGTCAGCTGCCTGGCGTTTTTGTTGTGGGCACGTCTTTTGTTGGACGAAACGGCGTCGTTTAGGAAATCTTCCTCCGATGGAACTTTGAGCTCCACCATTGACCAGTTGTTTGGGTTTTCCATTTTCACCACCACCGGAGTCACCCGGTGGGCTTTTTTCATCAACCAATTCGGTGCCATTTTTGAAGAAAAAATTGTTGGTCTTTTAGATTTTAGGCCGCAGATGGCAACGGGCACATTGTTTGAAGATTTAGGTTTTAGGCCGTAGAATGGGTTTATTCTTCGTAATTTTCTGTTCTTTTTTTTTTTTTTTTTCCCTTTTTTTATTCGATTTACAGGATACCGCTACACCACTTTGCAATTGCTCACTCTAAATATAAACCTTGATCGACAATGGTGGTTGGGGTTACGAATATTACCGTTAGAAAGATGAAGAATCGGAAAATATGGGGCTTTCATTCCGAAAGAAACGGATTATGTGGATGCAACTCCATTGTCTTATTCTTTGGTTTTCTGGAAGGGAAGAATTTACCCACAACATTCGAAAACGGAATAGAAGAAGAACAAGAAAATTTTGGGTAAGATGGATGAAGATGAATATGAACGGAACGACGAAACACAAACCCACGCGCTTCCAAATCATCTGCCACGACTTTTTAATAAAGACAAATCTTTATAAATGGCCCATATAATTTTTTATAATATCAAATTTAGTTCGTAATTTTATTTTGGTAGCTATAAGGTCCTTTATGGTTTCAATTTGTTTTATTAGTCCTTGAAATTACTTTGTTATCTTTTTAATTTTATTTACCTTTTTCTTTGTTTATTTTGAATTTTAAAAATAAAAGAAAATTAAAACTCTCAACCCCACTCTTACCTCACTTTTTCTTTTTAGTTTATTTCTAGCTTACTGCTTCTCTTTTTCTCTCTAAAAACACACACACACTGACACACAACGCAACAAAAAGAAGAAACATATATCTCCCCCATCCTCAATCGTTAATCTTATAACCAAACCTGAGACTAAAGATCTACGAATCATTAAACACAAAACACCAATCCACCAAGATGTACCAGGATTTGAGTTTGAGCTACTGGCGGTCGTGCATGAAGCAATAAATCGTTTGGTACGTTGAGAGGTGCTTGACCTGTAGGATGGTCAAGGTCGAGCATCAGAGGCCACATGGCAAGCTGCAACCTCTAGAGATTCCCATGTAGAAATGAGAACAGATCGCGATAGACTTCATTACCAAGTTCCCGAGATAGAATGCTAGGAGAGATGCATTTGTATGCCTATTGTATGAGCTTGTAGACTTGCATGCTAGTACTGATGAGTCAGTGATAGGATGGCTAGATTAGGTTATGCTTGGTTATAATTACTTAATGCTCGAATGTTGCTTTCTTTGTGCTTTTTAGGAGTTCTCACTAGTTTCAGCTAACTAGTAAGTGAATATGTTTAGTGTGACACCTCTCATTCGATGAATTGTATGGTTTTGGTGATATGTAATTGTATTTGTGAGCTAGTTAGAGGAAGTTAGCAGAAGTTCCTTCTACAACTGATGCCGGAGAGTGGTGTGGAATTTGCCTAGGAAAACCTTGGAAGAAATTTAGTGTGAGGAGCCTTATCTTGATGAGGGTTAACTGTATGGATATAAAGTGACTTGGAGGATTCAAGGCAATTCTTAAGGAATGTACGGATAGATGTTGAAGGTAGTATGGGTGCATACTACTGGAAGTAGAGGATCCATACTTGAGTCAAGTAGAGCTACAATGAAACCAGGAAGCTCGTAGAGAGTGTGATTCCTCGATATATTTTGATGCATATTCTTATAGTTTATATGGTCTATTTTTAGTGTGGTGACTCTTTGAGGTAGATCCGTAGGTAGTTATGGTGCTGGTGAGGGATCGGGCTCAGGTTTTGGAGCTGGGCAATTGGATGATCAGACAAGGGAGTTCATCTCATCTGAGATTAAGCGTTACATTCTCGAGCGGTCACTTGTGATCTTCGTTATGATCAAGGAGGGTAGTATGGAGATGTTGGAGGAGCGTTTGGTCTCTTTCCATTCTGAGATGGTGGCCTTGATTGGGGCACATTCGTTGACCTTCAGGGAGTTCTGGGCATGTGGAGCTCCAAACTATCACAGGACGAAGGACCCGATAGTGAGCATGAGGTGATTAGCGGATGTTGCTAACGCCTTCCGCATCGGCAGTTGTCCCAAGGGGAAAAGGTCAGACTTTCTTCCTATCTTCTGAAAGACAGAGCCTGAGACTTGTAAGAGGAGGTTGGGCGTGCAGTTGGTGATGATGATGTTGATTTGATGACATGTGATGATTTTACGACTAAATTCAGGGCTAAGTTTGGACCAGAGATCGAGGTGTAGCAGTTGGTGTAAGAAAGCAGTTGACTTAAGAGTTTCTGGATCTCTACCAGACTACTGAGATGGTGGCTGAGATCACTACGAAGTTTTGTGAGAGGGTATTATTGGTTCCTTAATATGTGGTAGATAAGGAGATGAAGAAGGTGAGGTACCATGAGATGCTGGGGAGTGATATTCAGCAGTTTGTGAATCGATCCAGTTGCAAGACGTTGGCGGATATGATAGCGAGGACTAGGGGGAGAGAGATTTATCTGGAGATTGAGAAGAAGAGGAAGCCAGATTATATGCAGAGTGTAAAGGCTTTAGGAAAGAGGCCGAAGGTTGTTGGTATAAGAGAGAAGGGCCAACGGAGCTAGGGCTGCTATGGCAAGTGCGATAGGACGCACGATAGGGCATGTAGGGTGGGTGGTTCCGGCTGCTTCAAGTGCGACGGACAAGTCATATCAGCAGAGATTATACTGCTACTACCATCACCACCCCGTTATCTAATCTGATTTGTTTTCATTGCAACCATAGGGGCCACAAGAAGGCCCATTGTCTGAGTTTGACTATAACAGGACCAATGTCAGCACCCACTCCTGCAACTCTACGGATTACTGACAGCCACCAAGGCAAGGCAGATGAACCTATGGCGAAGAGCAGGGCTTTTCAGCTGACAACTGAGGAGGCTCGTGCAGCTCCTGATGTGGTGACGGCTATGTATATTCTCCTTATCTCTTTATTTATATTGAATTATCTGCTTAAATTTATGTGTTTTATTTTAGGATCGTTCCTCGTGAACGGTATTTCTGCATTGGTATTGTTCGATTTAGGGGCTACCCAATCCTTTGTGTTGCTTGAGCTTAGCAAGAGGTTTTTTGGAGATTTGGAGGAGATGGATTGTCCTTTAGATTTTGAGATTACAAATGATCGATCTATCCGGGTAGCGAGGGTTCATAGGGGTTGTATTCTCCAGTTGTTCAGTGAGCAGTATCTGGTCGATTTGGTTCCAATTCCTTTGCGTGGGAACAAGGTTATCGTGGGCATTGATTGGTTGAGCCCTAACAGGGTAGTGATCATTTGTGAGCAGTAGTTAGTTCAGATTTGAACCCTAAGTGGGGGAGATTTAGTGGTTCATGGAGAGAGAGCACAGTGTGGGCCGATTTTGTGTTCATCAGTGAGGGCTAGATGCTATATTCAGTAGGGTTGTTCCGGATTTGTCGCCTATGTTATGGATACCCGTGGTAAGGGTAAGGGGACTATGGATGATGTGCCTATTTTGTGGGAGTATCCAGATATGTTTCCAGAGGATTTTTACTGGGGTGCCTCCGAAGAGGTAGGTTGAGTTCAGGATTGATTTGGTTCCAGGTGCGGCTTCGATAGACAAAGCATCGTAACGGTTGGCTCCTCCTGAGATGAAGGAGTTTTCTACACAACTGCAGAAGCTGTTAGTCAACGGATTAATTTGACCGAGCAGTTCGTCATGGGGAGAACCGATCTTATTTGTGAAGAAGAAGGATGGGTCGCATCATATGTGCATTGACTACTGAGAGCTGAATAAGGTAACGGTGAAGAACTGTTATCGACTCCCGAGATTGATGATCTATTTGAACAACTTCAAGGTGCATCTAGGTTTTCCAAGATTGATTTAAGTTCGGGTTATCATCAAATGAAGGTTAGAGATGAAGATGTGCAGAAGACAACTTTTCGGACTCGTTATGGTCATTACGAGTTCGTGGTGATGCCTTTTGGGCTCACCAATGCTCCAGCCTCATTCATGGATCTCATGAACCGCATATGCAGGCTGATGCTGGATCGGTCTATGATTGTATTCATTGATGATATCTTGGTCTATTCTAAGACCCAGGAGCAGCACGGTGAGTACTTGAGGGAGGTGTTGGAGACTTTGAGGAGGGAGATAATTTTCGCAAAAGTTCTCCAAGTGTGAGTTCTAGTTGTGCGAGGTGTGGTTTATGTATAACGACCATAAATTTCAATAAATTTTAAACTTTTCAAAACATCTCAATTTCTTTAAGTTTTTAGAAAAAGGTTTTCAATACATTTATTATCAGAGTATTCCCAGAACCCTAACATAAAACATAAACACGAGGAGCGGTACGATCACGCCTTTGCCTTGCCACGGTCTCCTGAAGAACCTGAAAAACATTAAACCACAACTGTAAGCCCGAAAGCTTAGTGAGATACCCCCAAAATACCAACCACATATACCATACACACATAACGTGCTATATCATAACAAATCACAGAACAACCATGCATTTCAGGTCTACTGTGTGACTGGTCCGCCGTATCGGCCCTTTAGTCCACCTGATCCACCCTCCGAGTCCAGTCATGTCCCTTGAGTCTGCAGTATGGTCGGTCCGCCCGCACCGGGCCTTCAACCCACCTGTTCCACTCTTTGAGTCTACAGGTATGACTGGTTCGCCCGCATCGGGCCTTCAGTCGGCTGGTCCACTCTCCGAGCCTCGGTACGTCTGGTCCGCCCTCATGGGGCCTACAGCCTATTCGGACGGCTCGCTGGGCCTTCGGAATAACCGATCCGCCCTGGGTATGTTAGCCTACAGCACAAAGCAGGACCCGCCTCAACCCAACCCTAGTCAAACAACCATATGCACATAAACATAAAATCATATAACAATTCACATCCAATCAAACCGATCTAGAAGATCACGTATTATAACATACTCTAAATAGGATACCGACCTAACAGGTCACTAGCATATACCATCCTAATACCCGGATGCAAACATAGCAAGACAACAACCTAGCAACAATACCCATATTACAATTCGTTAAAGGGTC